AAATAGACAAATTTTGAAATTGGATCCTTTTTTATCTCTCTTTCTTATTTTGGCTTATCTATTATTGTTTTAAAGGCATACTCTCTTATCATAACAAAAAGAATAGAATAATAGACCATATGTAAAAAGTAATTGTTTATAGGTAGCCTATTCTTTGTCTATGAAGCACATTTCGCGATTTAACCACTACACCAGAATGCTTTTTATGATAAAAATTTAAAATGATATCATTGTTGTAATTTAATCATTATTTGAATTCAGAAGAAATGAACATCAGACGTGCTGCGGTATCATTTACAGGTGGAAAAGACTGTACTCTGTGTCTTCATCGAGCTCTTAAAGATGAAACAATATCGGTTGTCTTGCTAGTAACTTTTGCACCTGTCAATTCCAAACCATGTAAGTCTTTAATAAAAATATTTTTTAACAAATTGAGTTTGTTTTTTAAGTCTTAGCTCATCCAATGCATTTAATTGAAGCTCAATCTGAAGCGTTAGGAATTCTACATAAAGTCATTCTTGTTGAAGCACCTTTTCTAAGTAGTTACCAGCAAAGAATTAGAGAACTGTGGGATGAGTATAAAATCGAATTACTTTTTACAGGTAAACATTTTTTTATTATAAATTTTCTATAGTTTAAAATATAGGTGATATTCTTGACGTTTGTAATAATTTCATGGTTCATGCTACTGAAGGGTCTGGAGTTGAATTAGTGAGACCATTATGGGGAATTCCACGAAATGAATTAATGCAAGAATTAGTTAATGAAGGATTTGATATAGTCGTATCCTGTGTAAATATTGACAAAATAGATCAATCAGTAGCAAATGATTTAATTGGAAAATCTTATTTCTATGTCTATGAAAAGATCAAAGAGATAAATGGTATTGATCGGGCTGGAGAAGCCGGAGAGTTTCATACAATGATTTTAAATGCACCTCGTTTTAATAAGCGTATACAAGTTAAAGGGAATGTTCAAACTGATGATACTGGTCATTATTTGTATTTTAACTTTAACCATGTTCAACTCATTGCCAAATAATAAACCCATATCTTAATCACACAATTTTGAAAATATAGAACTATATGACTTTGTTAGGAAATTTATTAGATACGTCTTCTTAAAATAAATTTATAATGCAACGTTACTATTCGTTTATAGTTGTGTAATGATAGAATATCTTCAATTTAATTATGACACTAGGCATGCACCAAAGCTGAGCAGTCGCAAAATCGATCATTTTTTAATATTAGTCAAAGTACTTAATACATTATAATAGTTCTTGATTTTTTGATTCTACTATAATGTTTTGTCAATGAAAAAAAGTACATTTTATCAATTCTGGCGAAACTGTTCACTTGTTCATCATGCAAATAAATTCTAAATAGCCGATCACTTTTTTATTTCAAATTCACCAGGAATTTCTTATCCGAAAAATATGGCTGTAAATTCCTTCTATACTTGCACTAATAAAAATAACTTATAGAAAGAAGGATGCCAATAGACATCGGGTGATTATAGAAGGAACTTATATCTTCTCCTTGAGAACGTTCGTTACAAGTGTTTGGTCTGACTCATTCTAGTTTGTAAATATCAAATATGATTATTAGTATCTGAATTTGCGTAAGTAAATATAGATCACGATAAAAATAGTGTCATGAAAAATGAATAAATATTTACTTAAGAAGAAAAAAAGAAGAACGGACTATAAATTTCATCCATCATTATCTCTTCCAAATTCTTGTATGTACATGCCCGTCGTGTATGCCATATACATCGGTCATTTCTCATTACTTCATCATTCTTTGTTTCCACGATCACTATTTTAACCGTTCATTGTTCATTCTTCTCTCTTCGTTTTCATATTCGTTCATTCCATTTCATATTCATTCGGTTAAATAAAGTACGAGCGATCAGTCGTTAAATATATTTGATATCATACTACTTTAAAAGACAATACGAAAAAAAATTATTATCTTCCTACAACATCCATTTTAATCAGACGACAAAATGCAATTTATATGGATTTTCCTTCTAATATCGGCGACAAGATCAGTAAATTTAGTTAGAGGACAATCATTTTTATGGGCAGCACCTGAGATACGGACTATCCAAATGCATAATGAATCAACTCTTGATATTAGTTGGGAATATATTGATTCCTATACGAAACCATCTTCTGTACAATTATCTGTTATCCTATATAAACTGAACTCAACTGACATATTTTGTAATAATTTTACCATGGATGGTAAAGATCGTTTTAATTTTACATCGCTTATGATAGTGAACAACAATTTTCTGAATGCCAATGGATATTATGCTGTTGTTCTTGAATACAATGCAACTTATAAGTATGGAATAAATGAATCAACATGGATGTCGGGAATCAGTGACTTTCAATTGTTCAAAACGGCAGGAACACCGGTAATTCGTGAAGATTCTTTTCTTGATATTAGATCAAATTTAGTTATTGTTTCAATGATGTGGCCAAGAGAAATTCCTATTTTTAAACTTGATATGTATGTAAAACTGAATAATCGAGATACAACATTACCAATAGAAACTGTATCAAATGGAACTTATTTAATAAGTAAATATCGTTTTGACAATTTATTACCAGATACAGACTATAATCTAACTACAAATTTTACACGAAAATACCTTCCAAATGTTTTGCATTCATCAACTGAAGGTAGAGGAATCATTAGAACTTTAAAATATTGATCTAATTCAGCAAATTCCTCTTATGGACAAATCTTTCTCTTTTTTTGTGTGTAACATTCTACTATTCAACTTATTTTTTTGTTTAAACTTTTTCATATCGTAATATCATCATATGAAAATAAATAGAGAATAAAAAAATAAATATTTTGTGTTTTGTTTTTACTTTTAAGAAGGTGAATTAATGGCTGAAATACATAATGCGTCACCATTGATACGGTAGAATTAAGAATTCAAACTCATGTATCAACACTGTCGTTCTTGAGGATGAGGGTAAGGCTTGGGATGAATAACAAGTATTCAGATCTTCACCCACACCCACACCCCTATTGACGTATACACTCACATCCTCGAAATAGTTGAGCAAATTTCTGCTCAGTCTATGCGAGACTGTTGATCATTTTTTTAAATTCTCAGAATATCTGAGTAATTGAGACAAGTATGTTTTAAAAATGGCTAATTTTGAGCTGCTATCAATCAACGACACGTTTTTTTATGATTCATCGAAATCAATTATATGTGAGTAATCGAATGCAAACGATTCTCGTGTCAATGTATGACTAAGGTAACGATGATGTGACAATTACATTATGACTCATCCATATGAAACATAAAAGAAAAAAAAATGTACACATAAATTCATTAAAATATGCCGTCAAATTCGGAAGACAAAAATCGTCTATCATTATGTGATATTATTATGCCATATGTTTATATTCGTTCATTACTTATTTATGATTATCATATTGATAATTTAGAAAACTTATTTAATGAATATCTTCATTTATATTGTCCACAAGCATTTCAATGTATTATCTATGATGAAAATACATTATTAGATGGACGAATTGTAGAACAAGAACGAAATATCTTTTCGTATGAATCAAGAATAAATGAAAGCTCATCGAGATATCTTAATAATGATTGTTCTATTGAAGATTTATTTCCGTATGGTATAATACCAACAGATATATCACCTTTAATCTTTATTCATCAAATAGATTTTCAAGATGGAACTATATTAGCATTTGGTTGTCATCATTATTTCTCTGATGGTCATGGATTTAGTTTATTAGGACAACGATTTTCTTTATGGTTAAAAGAGAAGAATCCACTTTTATTCGATCATGATCGCTCGAAATTAAGATGTTCATCTTCAATTAAATTTGAT